GTGGGGGATCTGGGTAAAGAGCATATGAGAGTTCTTTGTGCTGTTCTAGTAACTTTCCTTAAGGTCTGATTGGGTCAAAGTAAAAAGTTAAAAGGAAAAAACAAAGTGTAGAGAAAGGAGGGAGGAAGGGAGAGCGGGAGAGAGAAAGAAAGATAGAGGAGAGAAACAGACTTTGCAGAGCTCCCTACACGCTGGGGAGACAGGTACTAGTACAAATAATTGCATTAATTAACTGCAAAGTTGCCAGCCTGCAAGGGGCTAGTAAGGCAAGGCTGTGGTGGACTGAGCATTTGGAGCTGAGCCCCAGAGGCTGAGCTGACCTGAGAGAAAGGAAGCTACTCTCTGGCCCTGCCCATCCCAGGCTACAGGAGGCACAGGATAGAAATCCAGGCCAGAGCAGGTGCACTGGGCCAAGGCCAATGCTAGGAGACTGGATCTGTCCTTATTCTAAGAGCACTGGGACCCTGCTGGCTACAGAGAACAGACTGGAGGTGACAGGGCATGTGGAGGCCATTGTGGTGGTAGTGGTGACAGCTGCTTCTGGGAGACACACCATCTGCACGTTTCTCCTGCCCCCAGACAAAGGGAGGGGATAAGATGGGTGAGAAGGGCTCAGACTATGTGCCCACAGTGGGCAAGGGACAGCTGCAGGAGCTGGCTGCTGTCTCTCTGGTCTGGCCCTTGAAGCTGACTCATCTGAGGGAGGCGGGTACAGAGGCCAGGCCTCCACCCCACGCCCACACCCATCACCACTCATAAACACAGCACTGAGCCAGCAGGGCCCTTGTGGACCTAGATCTTCCCTTTGGACAATCCTTCAGTCCTGAGAACCAGAGCCAATGGCCCTGACCTGGGAGTGGGCTACCATACACAGACCCTGCAATGATTCTAGGAATCTGACCCCAAAAGGAAGGGACCTTTTTTCCACACCAAATTTTAGTGGGTCATTTGCTTATTTAAAGCCACCTATTTAGAAGAAACAGGCTCTTTAAGGACCTTCACTTTACAATGACCAGACTTAGAGACTAAGAGGTCTCCAGCACTGAAAATTGATTACTACCTCCACACAGCATTTAAAAACTTGTGCATCCTGATACTTTATCAGGAGTCCTGCAGTTTCCAGGACTATCCCAATTCCAAATCTTCTGTCCTAACTTTCCACATTAAACCATCAAACTGCCTCAAAAATTCCACTCTGTCAGTATCCAAACACCTCCCAGGACTCCTCTTGCGCAGAGGCCATCGCCGACATTCTTTTTCATACTACAGATCCCAGTCTTCAGAAAATGCTGTCAGCAGAGCCCTGCCGACTCCAGAAGGAAACAAAGTCAGGGAGAAAAATCCACGGCCATCAACACTCCATGAGTACTGATTTGTTAGCTGTCTCACAGGTACTTCCAAGTGAGTCAGGGCCAAAGGTGACACTAGTATGAAAGTGTCACCCACTGTTAGGCATGCTGGGTAGTGTCCTCAGCCCTCACCTAACTTCCAAACAGCCTTCCTGGGACGGCAGCATGGTCAGAGGGTGGCAGTGAGGAGAACTAAGCAACTAAGCAGTACCTAGTGCCCAGTACAGGTTATATTAGACAGGATAACTAAACCCAGAGGCATCTCTGGCCATCCTTGAAGACTAGGCATGAGATCCACCATCCAGAGGAAGGCAAGAAAAGTCAGCACTACACTCAGGTAAGGCCTGGCCTTGCTCAGCAATTAAGTAGCACCCCAACTATGGGGGGGGGCAGGTGGTGCAGCAGTGGGCCACAGTGATACATGGAGTTCTATCTGAATTCTGAAGGTTGAGGCCAGCCTGGGCAACAAAGACCCAGTTGAAAAAAAAAAAAAAAGCTAGACAAGCTGGGCGTGGTGGTGCACACCTTTAATCCCAGCACTTGGAAGGCCGGGGCAGGGGGATCTCTGAGTTCAAGGCCAATCTGGTCTCCATAGGGAATCCAGGTCAGCTACAGCTACAGGGAGACCCTGTCTCAAAACAAACAAACAAAAAAGCTAGGCTTAGGAAGCCGCACACACCTAAAATACACAAGGTCTCCTCAGGCTCATGCTTTTGCTCCTGCTGGTCTACCCATCCCAAATGCCCTCTATGTTCAAGGTTTAATGCAAGTGCCAACTTTGGCATATTCTTTCCTGAATATTTCCTGATAACAATCTATGATGGTTAATAAGGGCTGTCAGTAGGACAGGGTCTAGAATTACCCAGGAGGCAAGCCTCTAGCACGTCTGCCAGGGATTGGGTTAAGTAAGATGGGTCGGAAGGAAGATCACCCTCAATGCAGGTGGCCTGGGGTCCCAGGCTGAATAAAAAGGAGAAAGCCATCAGACCACCATCATTCACCTCTCTCTGCTTTCTGACTGAGGATACAATGTGACCAGATGCCTTATACTCCCCTAGTCATGCCTTCCCTGACTTAAATAAAGGACGGCACCCTCAAATTGTGAGCCAAAACACGCCCTTCCTTTCTTAAGCTACTTTTGTAAAATATTTGGTCACAGCAAGGAGAAAACGAAAGCACTAACAGAATGAGTGACTGCCACCTCCAGTGTATTTACATCTGACTTGATCCCCCTTTAAAGTAGTTATCAGATGGGTGTATGGAGACACACAAGCGCACATAGGCATATGGTCTTCCCAACCTACTGTGTACTCTACTCTTTCAGTGCAGTTCAGCTTTTGGCTCTGCAGCCCTAAGGCCCGACACATAGATCGACTCAACAAACGTCTGCATTTCCTGTTGAATCTGTGCTCACAGTGGGCATTGGGATAACCAGATAACTTGGAGACAAAAGAGGCCTCAGGCACAGATACACAGAGAAGATCTATAGTCGTAAGACCTCTGGGTCCCAAAAGTTGTGACCTGACCAGATTTCAGCCAGGGGCCTATCAAGAGCTTCGTTGATTCTCCTCTATCAAAAGAAAGGAGCCACCAGTAAGCTCAGAGCCTGAGGTCCCCGGGCCCAGACAAGAGCAATGTGGACAGGATCCAGTCCTTTCTCGTCTGTCACAGAATTGGAAAGGATGCCAGAGGAAGGGCCCGCTGGGGTATGCAGAGTACAGTGACCAGCCCTGCTTTCCAGGAACTCACTGTCTGGTGACAGGAAGATGAACTCTGTGATTATGGTCAGCAGAAGGGACCACAAAACAACGGTCCCTTCCCAACGTGCCAGTCCCTGAGAACTGGGAGGAGAGAGGGTGTGCCATATCTTCCAGCTCTCTCCAGTAGGTTATATACATTCTAGAAAACAGTACCCCTGTGTGTCTGGACCTGTATGTGCTTCAGAAGGTCACAAGTCCTCTTGCTGTTGGCCCCACTCTTTGCTAGCTCGAGAGGGAGGGGAAGGGAGCAACAACACTGTAATTAAACTTGCAGGGTGCAGTCAACAAAAGCTGACACCAACTGCCATGCTGGAGGCCCAACTTCTTCCTGGGAGAGGATTTGTCTGTGACCTTGTCTCCCTGACAGGGTCGCTGAGACCTCAAACATGTTAAAAAGTACCATACCTTTGCTATGAGAACAAATGAAGGCTCTGAGCTGGGATCTTAAATTTGGTTCCCAGGGAGTAAGCCCGGAGATGTCCCTGAGACATGGATCTGTCTAGGCCTGAGCTGCAGGGAAGTTTATCCAGGTACCCCGGATTCCAGGTTGAGGTCCCTTGGCCTACTTGGCATATTCCCCGCCCCCGTACCCCAGTAGCACTACACCTGCCAAACAGAAGCATTTGCTGAGAGGCATGCCTCAGCTACTACAAATACCCTTAGTAACCTGACCTTACCCAGTCCCAGGCTCATATCTAATTTGCATACACTAGCCCCTCGTGGAGAGGGTAAATCACTAGAGACAACTCAAATCAATATAAAGTAGGAGGCTTGTTTTATTCTATGTAATTCTCTGCAAATTGGTATTCCATTAAGTGTATGTGGGATTTATGGGAGCTCGCTATATACTAGAATATTTAACTAGACCGGCCTACTCTGTCAGATAATAGATTACTGTTGTTAATTTTCAACCAGCCAATCTCAGAAAAGCTAGCAGCTTCCAATACAGTCTAGATCTTCATTTAATCATTGGGAAAGCCATCTATGTGAGGTCTCTATATGACACACAGTAGCCTGAGCTAGGAACAGGAAGCCTTGAGTTCCAGCCCAGCCACTTGAGGACTGTGCAAACAGCTACTCAGAGCCTCAATTTCCTCCTCTATAAAATGGGAGTAACAGCAGCCTGGGGAGGAGAGCTGTAAAATTCAAATGAGATGATCCATGTGCCCCCAACAACTCTAGCAGGCGTTGCAAAGGTTGGTTATTGTCATAAAAGCCCTAGGTGAAATTTCAGATAACCCAAAACTAGGGTCAGAAAGCAGAGATTATCTAAATTGATACTTCTAAAGAGGAAAAAGGAACATCCTGGGGGAGGGATACCGCTGGAATCTACCGAGCTGAGACTATCAAGGCTGCCCTGCATCCTACCGTGCACAGGCTGGCACCCACTGCAAAGAATGCTCAAACCCCAAACATTCAGTGTATGAAAGGAGACTCCATGCAAGTACTTAAAGTTAGGCCCGGCTTGGCAGAGTAGGCATCTTCCTAACTAGGCTTTACTTTGCCAAATCACCTGCTTCAATATTTGCAAGATGGCCCATCTTGCAGAAACAGTTCTTTTTGTAAGTGAGGCCCAAGTGTCAACTCCTGGAGTTTCTGCATATATAAACTGCCTTTTAAAGAGGCTGCTCTCTGCTCACCGTGCAGCTAAATGGCTTTTTCCAAAGCCCCTGCCGTCAACGCAAGTTCTCCTGGGCACAAACACAGGCCGCAAAGATGCGTTCCTCATTCTAATTTCCTGACGAAATGGGTGCCACGAGGGTCTCTAAATGAATTAAATTCACAGCACGCCAACTGCTCGCTTGCTTTGTGCCGGGCACTGAGCCAAACACATGATTTATCCTACTTAATCCACCACCAACCAGGGGAGGTAGGCATTCTTACCGGCTGCTTGCAGGGGAGGAAATGGAGGCGCAGAGAGGTTAAACTAGTCGTCCAAGGTCACCAGGTGGCCAAAACGGGGAGCCCAATTTGAACCCAGGTCTCGCATTTCCCAACCACAAGCTCCCTCCACCATCTGAACACCCAGGTGTCAAGTTGTCTCAACTTCCCATGAATTTTTTAAAGGCAACCCGCAAGTTCGCAGTAAGTTTGGGTGGCAGCGGCGGGGGTGGGGGTGGGGGGTTACGGTGGATTTCACGGCAGCCACCCCCCCCCCTCCACCGCAGCTGTATCACCGCAAGTTACCTGATAAGCCACTGGGATCACCCGCTGAACCGGGCGGATCTGTTTGGAGTTCGTGCCAGGCCCAAGAAATGCCACCTTTGCAGGGCGGGAGGTGAACGGGCTCTTGGGCGCTGGGGCCCCAGCCTGGGTGACTGCGGAGGGTGGATCCCCGCGGCTGTGCGCCCCCTTGGCTGGGCCGGGGACGCGGTGGCAAGAGAGCAGCACACGCCCACGCCCGCCGCGGACCCCCCCCCCTTCCCCCCGGCAGGTGAGCCCCGCCCGCGCCCCCAGCGGTCTGACGGGGCAGGGGACCAGAGCTGCCGGGTCTCCCCGAGACCGCCCATCCTTCCTCCCCGGGCCGGCTGGGGGCGGGGTGGCGTCCCTAGTGTCCGTGATCACGGCCTCCCCCGCCCCGGGAACCCCCGTGGGGGCCCCCGCCGCCCGTCCCTGCCGCATCCGGGGGCGCAGGGCGCCCAGGTTGGTCGCGCGGGCGGCCGGCGAGGAAGCTGGCTCCCGCCGCGACCTGGCCGCCGTCTGAGCATGCCCAGTGCAGCCCGCGGGCGGCTCCCGCCTGCCCTGCTGTGGCCGCGTCGGGCGGGGGACGGGACGGGACGGGGGCGGGCGCTGCCACGCTGCTCCCCGGGCCATCCGCCGAGCTCCCCCAGACCCCGCGGCTCACGCATACAGACATTCATTCCTTATGCATTTATTTAGCACCTACTGTGTGCCGGGCCCTCCGGGACTGCATGCCTAGGAATGGCAAGTAACTGGGGCTCACTCAGCCTTGGAAATGACAGCGAGCCCTGCACGGCGGCGGTGCACGGATTCCCAGCCTGGGGCTCCTCTGCTTGCACCCGGAGCCCTAGCGGGGTAGACCGGCCCGAGGCGTACAGGGCCCTAGCTGGCGGGCGTTCCTGTGGCGTCTTCCGCCTCCTCCCACACCTGCCTTCCTGGGCCCGGTGCACCATCACACCCTCTTAACCTGACGCGCCTCAGGACGTAGGCACTGGTCTTTCTCTCCCGGCAGGACGTCTTTTCCCCAGCCGGGGCCGGCGCCTTCTCTTTGGACCTGCGTGCCCTCGTCGGAGATACCTTTCTAAATTAGCCTTGACCTCTTGTCCACCCTCCACGAGCTTTATCCTCTTCGAAGCATGTATCGATGTTTCCATTCAGCAGTTACTTATGGAGCACTTCATCCGTTCTTAACACAGAGGCAAAAATTCTGTCCCCATTTGGGAGTTTGGAGGAAGGGAGACGCGCAGCAAATAGCAGGTCGGCAAACCACGTAGTATACAAATTAAAAAGTCTTAAGAACAGAGAAGGGGAGCCTGATAAGAAGGCTTGGCGGGTGGCATGGCGAGGGCTAAAGGGACGGTCTGGTCCGGTGGCTAGATCAGGTGACACGGAGCCATTTCAGTCACGCAGCTAAACAGGGAAGCGCATTCCTGGGACAGGGACTAGCCAGTGCAAAATCGCCAAGCGCACGCTTGCCTAAGGAACGAGGAGGGCAGAGGTGCGAAGGGGGCCTGTTAAGTCACCGGCAGTCTCTCCGACTTGCTTCCCCCTTAAGGAGAGTCTGCTTCCAGTGTCAGCTCTGTAGTTCCACCTGCCTTTGCCCCAGTGACCCAGCCTCTACACAACTCTGGTCACTCAGTAAGGACTGAAAATCGGTTTGTTGAATGAATATGTGAACAAAAGGCTCGAAAGATGGCTAGGACACTGCGATCCGACCTGGGTGCCAGAGGTCGCGAGGACCATTTGAACCCTTGCTACCAGGAGATCCCTGACCGTGCCTGATTCCTCCTTTGGCTCCCGGTCCCTGTCTGCTTGTCCCGAGGTAGCGCCACCAATGCAGGCGCCGCCGGGGCGTCGGGTCTGGGGAATTCCTATGGAGCCGGGACTCCCTGGGGCAGCAGTGCCGGCGCCCCGCCTTGGCTCGGTCCTGGATCGTTTGCAAAACCTGGAGCCCCGGGCTGTACCGTTCGGACTGGCGGGTACAGCACTGGGCATGCTCGGAGCGGGGCGCGGCCCAGCGTCCGGAAGAAGGAGCCCCTCAGAGGGGCCGGCGAGGATGCCCACTGAGCCCCACTTGGCCATCCCTGGCTCAGCCCACGGTCTCTCGACTGGGGACTGCTGGGGAAGCCCCGCCCCCAAAGCGTGGTGGGAAAACCTGGAACTGAGAGTCAACAGACAGCAGTCTGTCCTCTGCCAGTTGCAGTGTGATCTGCCTACCACAGCCTTGCGCCCTCTGTGCCTTAAATAATAGAAATGCTTACGCTCTGGTGGGGGCGTGCGGGGGTTGAAATAAGAACGTGAACTTGTTCAGTCCACTTTTTAAGTTTTTTTTTTTTTTCCGTGCCAAGGATTGAATTCAGGCTTTGTACACACTAAGCACACAGCTCTACCACTGAGCTAAAAGCCCTGGTCCAGATTCATTCTGGAGTGAGTGCCTACCTCAATTACCCATCACTAGTTGTTGAACTGGTAAGATGAGAGAACTGCGGAAAAGGGACGTGTGTGTGCTCAGAACTGTCCAATTCAATGTCTGCTAGAATAAAACTTACTTTTCTTGGCCACTCTCAGCAACCATTGTTTAAGCAATGTTCTCAGATTTGAGCTAGAAATAGCTACAAATCTCAGGGAAAAGACCTAAAGATTTTGTTTTTAATTGTGTATTTCAAGTCACCATAACAGAGCCTGAAACATAATACAAGACTATCCCCCCAACTTGGAAACAAAGTAGATGATCAATAAGAAGGGAATGGTTGGACTGTATTACCATGCATTCGTTTAAATAATACCTATTACAAGCCGGGCATGGTGCTCATGCCTTTAATCCCAGCAGTCAGAAGGCTGAGGCAGTAGATCGCTGTGAATTCAAAGCCAACCTGGTCTACATAGTGAGTTCCAAGCCAGCTGGGACTACAGGGAGACCCTGTCTCAAAAAGACCAAATAAATAAATAAATAATAAATAAATAAATCATATTACAACTAATTCCTACTGGGTCAGTGAGATGGCTCAGCAGGTAAAGGCACATACCACCAAGCCTGACCACTTGAGTTCAACTCCTGAAAACCTGAGTGTTAGAATTGACTCCCACAAGTTGTCCTCTGAATTCCACATGTGCACGGTGGAACATGTGTGTTTATACACGTGCATACGTACAAAATAAATAAATATATAATTTTTAAAAAATTTAAAAGAGCATGCTTCACAGGAAAACAATACCAAGTGAAAAAGCTAAAAGCATCAATAAATCACAGGGTGATGATGTGGACACACCCAGACTAAGAGGAAATACAGGACACCGGCAATGTGTGACTCGGAGTCATGGAGTTGAAAGTCTTTGCTTTTTTCCTTGAGTTTAACTCCTCCTATTTAAGTTGCTTAACGTCACGATCCTGTTAGTGGTAATAAAAACATAAGAGATCAAATAAGGGGCTAGAGAGATGGCTCAGCAGTTAAGGACACTGGTTGTTCTTGCAGAAGACTCAGATTCGAATCCCAGCACCTGCATGGCAACCATCAGTAACTCCGATGCCAGGGAATCTGAAGTTCTCTTCTGTCCTCCTCAGGCACTGCACAGCACAGGTGCACTTACATACATGAAGACAATACACTCATACACATCAAATAAAAATAAATTAATTAATTAAATTAAAAATAAAGATTAGGGCTGGAGGGATAGCACAGCCATTAAAGGCTAAGGCTAACAACAAAAACGTTAACAATAAAGATTAAATAAAAAAAATTTGTCTGTGTACATCTAATAATAAAAACCATACCACCAGGTGTGGTGGCACACACCTTTCATGCCAGCACCTGAGAGGCAGAGGCAGGCAAATCTCTGTGAGATTGAGGTCAACCTGGTCTACATAGTGAGTTCCAGGCCAGCTGGGGCTACAAGGAGACCCTGTCTCATAAAGACCAAAACCAACAAACAAACAAAAAAATTACTGTGATTAAGTTCAGGTGTGGCTAATGTCTGTCACTCTAATCTTTTCAGTGAATTTTATTATTATTATTATTATTATTATTATTATTTGGTCTTTTTGAGACAGGCTCTCTCTGTAGCCTCAGCTGGCCTGGAACTCACTATGTAGACCAAGCTGCCCTTAAACTTACAGAGATCTACCTGTCTCTGTCTCCCGAGTGCTGGGATTAAAGGCATGCTCTACCATACCCGATGCTTACAGTGAATATTTTTTAAAGCTCAGGTTCACAGAAAACTTTTGGGGTGGGTTCGCAGCTGGTACAGGTAGGGTTGAATTCTAAGGCTATCCCATTGACCACAGAGCTGGGTGTCAGGTTCTATGGTCTCTTGCCCCACGGTGTGAGAACTAGGTATTGCCTGATGAGAAGAACCTCTGTCATTTTATTTTGTGTCTTTTTCTCTTCTTTCTTCTTTCTTTTTATTTTGCGTAGGTTACTTTAAACCTTCTGGTTTTCTGTTTTTGTTTTATTCTTGGGGACAAAATATTCAAGTCCAGCCTTTTTAATCTGTTGCACCTGGACTGGCATCATGATGTTCTTAGTGTCCATGCCAGTTGATCTTACAGTCTCAGCTCCTGTAAGATTACAATCTTATGTATACGGGGCTTTTGAATGGACACATAATCTCCTTGGTCTATAGTTGAATCTAGCCAGATCCAGAGCAAATGAGGTCTAGTTATGAATAGGACTGGACTGAGCCCCAGAGAATGAGGCCAGGCCCAGGGGAATTCACACAGATGGATGGTATCCCTGGGCAGTCATCTAGAAGGCAGGGTCACAGCCCAGTGGAACCACACAGTCCCCTCAGGTTCTGATGCTGTTTGCTGGAGCAAAGCCAAGGCCCCAGGAGCAGCCTTCCTCTTATTTTACATATATATATACATATATATATATATGTATATATATATTAGAGCCAGGCCCAGGGGAATTCACACAGATGGATGGTATCCCTGGGCAGTCATCTAGAAGGCAGGGTCACAGCCCAGTGGAACCACACAGTCCCCTCAGGTTCTGATGCTGTTTGCTGGAGCAAAGCCAAGGCCCCAGGAGCAGCCTTCCTCTTATTTTACATATATATATACATATATATATATATGTATATATATATTAGAAGAAGTATTTCATTACAGCTTTAAGCTAAAAAAAAAAAAAAAGTCTGTTCTTCCTCTTAGTGTGCTGGTCCAGAAACCTAAAAACAACAAGATGGGAGGTTGTTTCATGAAAGAGGAAGATACACGGCAAGTTAAATACTCAGCACTAGTACTGGAGCAGATTGCTACAGGAACGAGGCATGAACGACAGACTCAGCAGCCCCAGAAGACACCATTCATTGGAATATCTGGTGCTGGACACAACGCAACAGCAATTGGTTGGGGGGAATTCGTGGGAAGACTTTCCTGGAAGAAGCACCACAGACCATCAGTCATTCACATCAAGACTCAGGAAGTCTGGGCAGTGATTGACGGGGCAGGGCTCCCTGATGACACACTAATGCTTATGAATTATTTGTGCTGTTAATGCAAGCTCACAAGGGGCTCCGGAACAGAGAAAGACTGGGGTAAATGGCACTGTTGGAGCACGTGAAAAAGAACACAGCACAAAATGATATGTGTAGATGGCATCCATGATGAATCATGGGGTTGATATGGAATTGCCATCATGGGGGCTGGAGAGACAATTCAGCCGTTAGGAGCACAGACTACTCTGGCAGAGGACCTGAGTTCAGTTCCTAGCACCCACATCTGACTGCTCACAACCGCCTGTAACTCCAGCTCCAGCGTCAAGGCCCCTCTTCTGGCCCCCGCAGGCACCTGCATACATGAGGCATATACTCACCCAGACACAGACTCATTAAAATTTTTAGAATGAAATAAATCTTTTTCAAAAAGATGGGCTTAATGTGGGTCAGATGGGTTGAACATGCGCAACTTCCTGTATCGCAATTCAATGAGCGTGCTCAGGAAAAAAGTGAAGCAAGTGTAAAAGCTGGCAAGCAGAAAGAGATGTGGAAAGAGAGGAGGAATGGTTACTCTGAGATTCTACAAAAAAAATGGAAGACAATCCTTTCCTAGAGGGCCAAGCCAGCCTTTGCCCTTGTGATGGCAGTTGGTGATAGTCCCTGGCCCAAGAGTGAGATAGTGGTCAGTTATCAATCAAGAAGCCCGAGACCACTCAAGACCAGAGCATTCATTCATTCAATTATTTATTAGGCACCTACTATGTGTCAGGCACTGCCCTAAGTGCTTGGGAAACATCAGTGGGCATCAGTTATCCTCCCCATCTCTTGTGACATGCATCCTAATGCAGACAGTTAAGAGCGGTCATAAGCAACAGTCTTGGGGATGTGGCTCAGCTGATAGAGGGCTTGCTTAACATCACGAGACCCAGGTTCTCTTTCCAGCATGGCAGAAAACTAGGCATGGTGACATATGCCTATAATCCCAGCACTTGGGAGGTAGAGGTAGGAGGATCAGAAGTTCAAGGTCATCCTCAGCTACATAGACATTCACCTGTCTCTGCCTTGCAAATGCCGGGATTACAGTTGTGTGCCCAGCTTATGCTTCATCTTCTTAAGGGAGGTGAACATATGAAAGGGCAGAAGGGAAAAGAAGAGGTGATGAGGAGAAGGCATCCCCTACAGGCAAGGAAGGACTACTCCCAGATGTCCAGCTCTTTGCCCTTGACCTTGGCTCCCTCCCCTGAGACCAATAAGCAGCTAATCATGTGACAGAAGAGGAAGGAGTAATGAGGGTGATGTTTGCTAAGGGGAGTGGACATCAGAGTGTGTAGGATGCACAGAAAACTGAACCTGGAGGCCCTTGCCTTCCTGCAGGAGTGAGAGAGAGGAGAGGAGGGAAAAGAAATCCCCCCTAGGGAAAAAGTCAAGGCTCTGACTCCACCAGGATGCCCCTCTGGAAGGAAACAGTCCTGTTTCAAGCACTCGTACTCCTGCTGGAAATTCACATGGTTGAGGGGTGGAACAAAAAAGACTTTGGACAAGGATAACAGAGAAAAGAAGCTGGTTATGGTCACATTGGGGTCAGGAATGATGCTTCCCTGACATAGCTGGTGACATCATGGGGATAGAAGCTGGTGGGACAACATCAGTGCCCCAGGCCTCCAACAGGAACTCCCATTCAGGCAGATATCTCCTGAGAACCAGCGCTTGCTTGATTCTCTAGATCACCCCTTAGACACCAGAAACTTGATCTGAGCCCAGAACACTCTGCCCCACCTCCTGGTGACATTTCAAGAACAGGGATGCTGCTGGCCAGCCCTGTGCTCTGGTGGCCTTCCAGTGTTCAGTGATGACACACCACAGGATTTCCTCAACTGTGCTGTGGTGTCCTGCAGGGATGGCTTTCTCATTTTTTCCATGGTATACACAGTCATTGCGTTATATACAATGAAGACAGGCTGTCCAGCAATTCCTCTGTAAACATGAGTCACACATGAAGTTAAAGGGTTCCATGTTCAGCAGAGGATGGCAGAGTTCCTGATGTACGGCACCTATTCATGTAAGAGATGTGGCTTGATAAAGGTCCTAGGATTTCCTGCCAAGATGCCTGAGCAGTGGTCCAGGAGAGATCACAGGGGCCTGCACAAATACTACTCTTCTACATCCCTGATTTCCCGGCCCAGGATGCAGTTCTCCAGCAGTTACATTAGAAACTGTTATTCCTTTCTAATTTTTTCATCTTTATCGTCTTCTGTTGCAGAACAGACTACCAGAATCTAAATAATTTATAAAGAAGAGAGATTTGTTTTGGCTCATGACTTTGGAGGCTCCGACAGTCACATCTGGTCAGCTCTTGCAGGTTTCATGTCGTTCCATAACAGGGTGAAAGTGAGAAGTATGCATGTCACAAGGAAGAGACAATGGGGTAAGTGGGGCTGCCTTACTTTGTCTGCTACTTTCTGTTGTTGGTTTCTTTGTTTTGTTGATTATGTGTATATCTATATGTGGGTATGTGCATTTGAATGTAGGTGCCTGCAGAGGCCAGAAGAGGGTGTTGGATCCCCTGAGCTGGAGTTACAGGCAGTTGTGAGCCAACCAACATGGGTATTGGGAACCAATTGGATTTTTAAAATATTTTATTATTTTTATTTTATGTGTATGAGTGTATTGCCTGCATGTATGTGAGTGCACCCGTGTTGTGCAATGCCCCGGAGGTCAGAAGAGGGCTTCAGATTCCCCTGGAACTGGAGTTAGGGACTATTCGGAGCCGCCACGTGGGTACTGGGAATCAAACCTGGGTCCTCTGCAAGAGCAGTCAGTTCTCTTAACTGCTGAGCCATCTCTCCAGCCCCGAAAAAGAATCTCCACAGTTTCAGAGGGGACAAACCAAATCCAAATCATTCCAGCCTTCCCGGGCTTCTCTTGGGTCCTTGATGCCATGCCTTTTCCAGTCCTGGTGGTCACAGCCCAAGTATAGGCACAGTTCTTTTGCTTGCTTCCCCTAGAAGAATGAAAGCTACCCCCATCCCCCTCCTGAAACAACTCAGCCACTATGCCTGCCAGCCAGGGCCACACTCTGTTTAAGGTCTGTCTCAAAGCCAGTTCTTTCCAGACAATCCACACTGCTCTGAGTTCTCTAACCCTTGCCCCGTAGGGTATGTGGCCTGTTGTTTTTTTGCTTCTCAGTAATTTTGATTAGCATTTTTGTTTTTAATATGCATTTGCCTTTTGGAAGACTCTTGGAAACTCCCTGAGAGCTCTTCCCATTGCCTGATGGACTGCAATCATCAATGGTTGTCGAGGACTGTGTATTAATTACTTTTCTCATTGCTGTGACCAAATACCTGACAGAAGCAACTATAGGCGGGAAGTCTTTTATTTTGGCTCACAGTCTGAGGGCATAGACCATCATGGTGGGGAGGGCATCGTGGCAGGACTGTGAAGCAACTGGTTGCATTGCAGTCAGGAAGCAGAGAGTGAGGACGGATGCTTGCACTCAACTTGCTTGCCTCTTTTTTTTTAACGTGTATGAGTGTATTGCCTGCATGTATGTAAGTGCATCCATGTTTCACAATGCTCTCATGGAGGTCAGGTCAGAAGAGGGCGTTGGATCCCCTGGGACTGGAAGGGGTGGTTGTTAGCCACCATGTGGGTGCTGGGAACCAAACCCAGGTCCTCTGCAAAAGCAGCTTAACCTCTGAGCCAGCTCTCCAGCCCCTGCCGTTCCCTTCTTATTCAGTCTGAGACCCCAGTTCATAGAATGGTGCTACCTACATTTAGCATGGTCCGTCCCACTTCAATTAACCTAATCTAGAATGTCCCTTACAGACATCCCAGAGGTTTGTCTCCTAGGTCATTCTAGATTGTGTAAATTGATCAAGATTAACCATCACAGACTGTAAGCTCCTTCTGAGAAATTGTTTGCCTCTCTAGTGAGAAAGAAAAGTTCTGTTGTGTCTAACAGTGATTGGGCAAAAATCCTTCCAGGACGCTGATTGCTTGATAAGCGATCACTCATTAGCTAGACAGAAGTGATATGGAGGGATATGGTGAAATGTGTCCAGTAGTGTCCCCTGCCCCCCAAAGGTAAAATAAATCTGGGACTGGGTGTCACTGATGCACTTTCAATTTCTTACCTATGTGAAGCAATGAAAGCGATTCTCCTCACCTTCAGGTCCTGGGCAAGCCAGACCCCTTTGCTGTCTACTCCCATTGCTAAGTGAGCTGTTTCCAAACCAGCTCTGGGGTCCATGACCTCCACATTTAGGCAGAAGAACAGACAATAACAGCCATTTCCCTCGTCCAAAGTGCCAGGCAATAATGAGAGGCTGACAATCATTCTGGTGTCTCATGGTTTCAATTTCATGGCAACCTAGAATCAAATGCTAGGGCTGGAGAGATGGCTCAGCAGTTAAGAGCACTGACTGCTCTTGCAGAGGACCCAGGTTCAATTCCCAGCACCCACATAGCAGCTAACATCCATCTGTAACTCCAGTTTCAGGGGAGCTGATGCCCTCTTCAAGGGCATTGTACAACATGGGTGCACTTATATACATACAGGCAACTAACTCATATACATAAAATAAAAATATTTAAAAAAATAAATGTCATTAGAATCAAATACTAGCAGCCTTCTTGAACTCTAGGTCCTTAATGTCTCCACCATGTCCAGCCTCAGGAAGCCTAAGGCAACCCAACATGAACTACAGCCACGGAAGCTGCCCCAACTCTTTCAGCCCCAGTGATAATATTTTATCTACACATTATGTAGTAAATACACCAGGACATTCTTCCTCTCTCTCCTCGTCTTGTACAGTCCGTAGTAAGCAGCTTTCTTTGCATAAGCAGGTGGAGGGAACCCTCCTCCTGCATTCAGATTCCCCTAGATTCACACATTAACACATCATATACAATTGTGGGACTCTGCCATCCCAACTGTGAACCCTCTCACATCTTTTCTTTGTATGTTGGGAGGCTGGATAGGATCCGTCACTGAGTGTGATGACTGAGTGAATTGGTCGGAATTGGATTGCCTTATTTTTTAAATATTTTATTATTTTTTATTTTATGTGTATGAATGTATTGCCTGCATGTGTGTAAGAGCACCCACATTGTGCAATGCCCTCAGAGGCCAGAAGAGAGTGTCAGATCCCCTGGAACTGGAGCTAAGGACAGTTGTTAACTGCCATGTGGGTCCTGGGATTTGAACCCAGGTCTTCTGCAAGAGCAACCAGTGCTCTTAACCACGGAGCCATCTCTCCACCCCCTGATTATATTATTTTTAAAAAATTTATTTTATTTTTAGGTGTGTGTGGTGTGTGTGTGTGTGTGTGTGTGTGTGTGTGTGTGTGTGTTTGAGTGTGCATGGGCCTGAAGAGGCCAGAAGAGGGCACTGGATCCCCTGGAACTAGAGTTATAAGTAGTTGTCAGCCATCCACCCAAGTGGGTGTTAGGAACTGAACTTGGGTTCTCTGCAAGAGTAGCAAGCACTCCTAACTGCTGATCCAGCTCTGCAACCCTGGATCACCTTTTTTTATTTACTTATTTCATTTGGTATGGGAGACTGAACCCTTGGCCTTGTCATGCTACGAAAGTTCTCTGTCACTGAACTATGCCCACAGTCACTGAACTATGCCCCCAGCTCCCAGATTACCTTATTGACATACTCAAGTCAAACCAAGTTGTTTTTTTTTTTTTTTAGAGACAGAGGTTCGTGTCTTCCAGGCTTGCCTGAAGCCCATGATATAGCAGAGGATGACCTTGGACTTCTGATCTTCCTACTTCCACCCCCTAACTCTCACATATTCTGGGATTATAGGCATCTACTACCCTGGTTTATGTAGTGCAAGGGATTGAACCCAGAGCCCTGTACATGCTAGGCAAGCGCTCTACAACTGAGCTACATCCCCAGTCACTAACCAAGTCTTTTGACTTATGAAAGCTAATGCATTATTTTCCATTACACTAGCTTCAGAGATACAAAAAAAAAAAGGACGTATCACTAGTACATATTTCAAATGCCAGTTCATTTAAGGGAACAATTTCCCAACAGTATTATCTAGATTTTTCTCAAGTTCCCGGGTTGAGGTCACTCTTTGTAGTTCATGTTGGGTTCCTGACCCAAACACAACTCGTGCCAGTTATGAAAAAAGCAAAAGCCCATTTTCCATAGTTTGGATACAGAGGCGACCGTGGGAACATGCACAGCTCTCTCTCCAGTTTTGGAAAAGTCAGTGAAACGCCAACCCAGCCTGTGTACCCGCACGGGAAACGGGGACAGATGAGGACTGTCAACCAAGAGGAAAGAAACACAGCAAGAGGAAATGGGCCCATTCGGCAAGGCCCAGCTCTGCCAGGTCAGCTTCTGCATGAGGAGTAGAGGGAGCACTGGTCTACCACAGGAGGGAAACTGTCTCCAAGCCATTCACTGGGAAACACGGAAGCAATCTAACACCTCAGCATGTAAGGAAAATACATGGACTGGATCCATTCAAGGGAAAAATCCAAATGGAGATCAAGAGTTCTGAACAGAAATGAGTCATGATAGCACCGCCAAGAATAACTAGAAATATGAACCAACTGATTGAAGGAAGATAAAATACCAAATCTTGTTGCTTATTCTAAGTCAAAGTTATTATGCCAAGAGATTGTGATGGCATGGGAAATTTCTAGTGGTATAGTTTAGATGAAGGTTGTAAGATGTAAAGCTATACTTACAGCATAACGTTGTAAAGAAAAATATCTATGCACCTGCAAGTCTAAAAGCAAGATGGTTCAGCAGATAACACTTGCTGCCAAGCCCAGCAACTTGAATTAGAGCTCCAGGACCCACATGGTGGAAGGAGAGAACAGACTGCCACAAGTTGTACTCTGACCTTCACATGCATGTGCACATACAAAACAAAATAAATGTAATTTTTATCTTTTTTTTTTTTTTTTTCCTAGAGCTGAGGACCGAACCCAGGGCCTTGTATTTGCTAGGCAAGCACTCTACCACTGAGCTAAATCCCCAACCCCAATAAATGTAATTTTTAAAAGTATGCTAACAGATTTAAAAGCAATTATTTCTAGATAATGATAGACGGGTGATTTTAATTGTCCTTTCCTGTGCTTTTCAAAACTTTTCTAGTGTGTGTGTGTGTGTGTGTGTGTGTGTGTGTGTAGCAGTTCAAATATTAAAAAGAAAAGTTTTCCTTGGTGGGAAACTCTAACCCTAAGTATGCTAACAATAGCAAATACAAAACTTCAACTTTGGGTTGGCAAGATGGCTCAGCAGGTAAAAGTGCTTGCTGTTCAGACCTGGTGGCCCGAGTTCCATTTCCAGAACCCTCGGCAAAAGGGGAGCACTCCTGAAAGTTGTCCTGTGACCTCCACACATGCACCTGCCCTCACACACACCAAATAAAACTAAAAAAAAAATTTTTTTTAAATGACAAAAAAAGCCCCACAAAACCTCAACTTCGCCCCAGAAGCATATACACAAAAGATGTAGGATTATGCCTTTAAATCAAGGTGACTGCAGCACTGGCTTTTCCTACATCTCCTTGACAACAGGCTGCTGCCTCCATTGAGGAGTCTTACATCCCCATGAGTAAGGATGCCAGTGAACTGGAGAAAGGCTTAGCACAACCAACTGGATTCCTTCATGTAGGAATTTATACTGGATTACAAATAGGAAAGAGAGAGGGTACACAGAGGATCCCAAGATCCTCTAGGGCAACTGAGAAACTTCAGAATGTCCAAAGAAATGACCTGTGGTGTCTAACACCACAGTGGCTTCCTTTCCACTCTGGGCTCGGCATGACCACATTCTGATTTTGCCAGGGAGATATCAGTGAAGGAACTCGGTGAGCATCTGCACATTGGTTTTGGTCCTCATAGTATCCTGACACTGGTATTCAGGGAAGAATCCCAGGTTGGGGGCTGATGGTGCTGCTTAGTGGTTGGGGATGTATTTTGAGAGGACCTGGGCTCCACCCCCTATACCAAAGAAACTTAACATTAATGTCTCTATGGAGAGAGGCCCAGCTGTGCAAAGTTTGTCTTAGCTGAACCCAAAGCACATTAGAACTACCTGTCAACACAGTGAATCATAAGAAATAAAAAAAGAATGTGTTTTAGGAGGTTTACCAGCAACAAATAACTAAGGCAGCCAGGACAAGGGACACTTGTTGCTGTGACTAAAGCTTGAGTTCTTCCATATGCAAACTGCTCACTTAGGCCTGGCTGAATGTCTGCCCTGGGATTTTTCAAGAGACCACCTTCCACACTGCCTCTTACAGTCCTACAATAGCCCCCTGTTATTATTTTGGTTTTGCTTTTTGTAAATTTTTAACTGCCAATTTTAATCTTTCAATTAAAAATTTTGATTGATTAATTTTATTGTTTATGTGTATTCATGTTTTGTCTGCATGTATGTAAGTGCACCCACGTTGTACACTGCCCCAAAAGGCCAGGATCCCCAGAAACTGGAGATACAGATGGTTGTTAGCAGTCATGTGACTGCTGTGAACTGAACCTGGGTCCTCTCCAAGAGCAGCCAGTGCTTTTAACCTCTGAGCCACCTCTCCAGCCCTGAATTGTGTCCAACTTATAGTCAGACCCAAAGAAATATTTGTAAATAAATGAGTTAATGCTGGATGTAGTGGTGCGTGCCTTCAATCCCAGCATTTGGGAGCAGAGGCAGGCAGATCTCTGTGAGTTTGAGGCCAGCTTGGTCTACATAGTAAGTTTTATGCCAGCCAGGGCTATCTAGGGGACCCTGTCTCAAAGGAAAGAAAGAAAAAGAAAAAGAAAGAAAGAAAGGAAGAAAGAAAGAAAGAAAAAGAAAAAGAATGAAAGAAAAAAGGACCTTGGAGGTTGGTTTAATAGATGGCGGAACCCACCTGTGGAGATTCTATTTTGGAAGCTGTAGGTGGCCCAGGCAACTGCATCAATAATAAGACACCTGAGTGATGCTGAACCAGGCAGCATGAAGGCCACAAGAAAACAATTTTCCAGTGAACCTCTTCATAATAGTAGCCTCTAATCCTCACTCCTAACCAATGAACCTGAAAGCCCCTGGGGGTGAGAGTCACAGTCTAGATTGTTAAGGAGCTCTTGGGTGAACTGGGTGCAGCTGGCCCATTGACATGAAGGCACCTGGAAACCACAGACTCAGCTACCAGAAGCCTTTGAAAGGCATGTGGCAGCCAAACATACTTGCTACTCTCCTCAGAGTGGAGCGGAGTGCTTACATCTGCTTAGTTAAACAGCATCACAGGAATCCCTTAGCTTTCTGAAGATGGGTTTTTACTGCAACAAGTGTTTGTTAGGGACTTTTTCTAAGTCTAAATGGCTCGCCTGCCAAACAGACATGGGTAGCACCTGCCTCCTGTATGCCATGAGTAAGAAATGAAGGAAGGTGTGTGATCCTATGTCAGATCTAGAAAGGCCACACATGGGCTTAAGAATGCTTTCATTGTAAGTATGTTGTGGAGGGGGTTAAATAGTTACCTAATTTTATTTATTTACTTACATATTTTTAAACTATCTATTTTTATATTATGGTTATGAGCGTTACGCCTGCACATATGTAAGTGCACCTGTGTCATGCAGTGCTCACAGAGGACAGAAGAGGGTGTTGGATCCTCCAGTACTGGAGTTACAAATGGTTGTTAGCCACTCTATGGGTGCTGGGATTAGAACTCAGGTCTTCTGCAAATGCAGCCAGTGCTCTTAACCACTGAGCCATCTCTCCAGCCCCTTATTTTTATTTTTAATTGTGTGTTCCTGTTTGTCTATGTGAGGAAATGCGCATGTGAGTGCAGTTGCTCAGGGAGGCCAGAAGAGGGCATCAGATACCCTGGAACTGGAGTTACAGGCAGTTGTGAGCTGCCTGATATGGGTGCTGGAAACTGAACTCAGGTCTCTGTAAGAGTAGTATGTGTTCTTAACCTCAGAACCATCCCTCTAGCCCCGGTTTACCTAATTTTAGAAAACCACTTAGGATTCATTATGAAGTGTCTTGCTCCTCCTAAGGAGGAGGGAGTCAGGTCTTTAGATCCCTACCCAAAAATGCCTCAAGGAAGGCAATCCCAGACACATGTCTAGACCCTATCCTTGGTAAGCATCACTTAGTCTCTCCTTACTTGGCTCCCTTTGCTCCTCCTTCATGTCCTTATGGATCAGCCCTTCCCAAACACAATGCAATATACTGATCCACCTTTTTCAGTGGTCTTGGCTCAAACCACACACTGTATCCAGAATGTTCTTTACTCTCGTCCTTCCCCACCTTCTTGGGTCTTTCTTGAACCTTTAGTATCCATCATCACCCATGCTCTGACCAGATGAAGTTGATTAGCTCTATTTTGAGCCCCCACCCGATGTTTCCCTAGGCCCCCGACACACTTACTTGGTTGTACTTAGGGAAATATTTGAATTTCACTCTCTTCCCCACTGGTACCCTACTCCTTGAGGCCAGGGGCTTTTCCTTGTTCTACACCAAGTTTCTAGCCCTTAGCATACTGTCCACCCAGGAACACACACATTTGTTGTTTGAGCACGTGGAAGTCGGGGCTGTCTTTGGCAGTTGTAGCCATCTGGAGACAGAGCTGCTCTGTCTTGGAAATGGTCCTGTATTTCTCTCTGGTTCTGATCTCCTGCTGTTGGCCTTCGTCCTCCTTGCAGAGGCATAAAAAACAAACCACTCACAAGCTGCTTGCCTGATCTTTGGCTAATGGGGCTGTCTAGTAGGTTTAGGAGAGTTTGCCTATATGCATGTGAGTGTGGTCTTTGGTATTAATGGCTGAATTGACATATTATAATGAGGAATCTCTTCTGAAGGCCACTTCTGAATTTTTGGTGTCTACTAGACCTTCTGGCTACATGTCCCATGAATATTTCAACTCAAGTCCCAAACTAAGAGATCAGTTCCATCCCATAAACACTGTTCATTATCCATTGACTGACCAGTTTCCCAGACTCTAAGCCCCACATCCTAAGCATTCT